CATTTTTTTATAAATATAAATTATGTATTATTATTTATGTAAGAATTAATTATAAAATTTGAAATATTAGCCTTTAATAGGTTAAAAGCACACCCAATAATTGAATTAATTATAATTTTTTATTTTAAAATACAAAAAAAAAAGTTATATTAAATAATTTCTAGGCCACATGGGTGGTTTCGAATTTTTTATTTTGTTTTTAGATAGATTTAAGAATAAAGTATAAACCCAATACTGAATTGGGTCAAACTTAACAAATGACTCTAAGTGTTGTTACATAGTATGAGTTTCACCCCCAATCAGCTCAATTCTAAAAATAAAAGAAAAATTACTCATAAATTTATTTGAAAAAAAGTTGTTTCATTTAGTCTTACAAGTTTTTCTTTCACACCAATTAGTTCTGTTTATTTTGGGTATATTGTATTTCCTTGATTTGGAGGATTGGGAGTTTACTTATTGCCCTTATGTGTGATTTTATTTGGATTTTTTTCCTGATGTTCGGTGTGTGTAGATAAGGTAGGATTTTACGTTTCTATTTTTTTGTGGGGATTTAGTGGAGTGATTGTAGGTGGATGATGTTACCCATTTTTTGGTATTACCGGTGTGGTGTTCAGTCCTTTTTTCTTGAAAAGTTCTGGTTTTTTTATTTTGTTCCAATTGCTACTATGGGGTCTTGTTCTTGGTGTGCTCTGCGGTTTTGAGGAGATGAGTTTTATGTGTTATATGATTTTCATTCATCGTGTTTGGGTGATGTTTCATTTTTTGCTGGGGTGTGTCGGTGTCTGCGAGGGTATGTCAGTAAGGCTACGATGTCAATTTATGATTTTTTTTTTCTTGGTGCGATATGGTTGTTGCGTTATGTCATGTGTTGGAGATGTAGTGTTAATAATTGTATCATTTCTGTCATGCGTTCTTGTTCATTTTGCAGGTATGGAGTTTGTAATTTTGCTTTTGTGTACTTACAAACAGATTAATGCGGATGTTGTTGTTCCTGAAAGGCAACCCACTTTCCTCGATGTAAAATTGTTCATCTTTCGTACTGGATATCTAAATTATTCATCACACCGTTGTGTCACACTTTTTGTATACTTTTGGATCTAACTTATGCACACGAATTGCCTCAATCATCAGCCAGAACGATGTCTTCTTCAATTGCCTAATATGTCCATCGCCCAACTCCACCTCAAGGACAATTTTGATCACCCCCACGACATTTGACCAGTACATCAATCTCGACAGGTCCACAATAGGGTTTTTGGAACTACCGATTGTTGTCTTTATTTTTTGGAACGGCAATTGTGTTTGCGTTTTCGTTATTGACGTTTGAATGAATAACTTTGAACGAGGAGTCCTCCCACCAGAACTAGGTTTATATGCCCGCCTTCCATCACAACCTGCCATATTATTCACAAATGCATTTCAATCCATATTTGTACAAAATCGGGACTACAAAATGCACGTACCATTACACCATTCCATACATGTCATTACACAATTAATTTCGCAACATTAACCAACGTAGCTAATGTCGACAACTGCCAATACATAAAATACATACTAACATGGACGTCAACACTAACCTACGTTCTGTACTACGTACTTAATTTGTAACTCAATTGCAGCCCAACTTACAAACCCAATTAATAAGGAAATGTAGCCTTACCATATCAAAACGACACAAACAAGTACAACAACATAACAACGCATTAATTATCAAGACTTTTAGAACAATAATATTTAACGCATTCGAGTAGACCCACCTTTTTCGCATTAGTACGGCACCACCAGCTCAACAACTGACACCACCATCCCAAACCTCCAACAAATATTGTAACCACATAAATAGGACTACACAACACCAAAACGACACCATCAAAAATAAACCCAAAATAGAAATGAACTTCACGTAACCATAACCTCAATGGAATTTGCAACCCATCACTCATTACGTAATATGAGAACTAAATTACATTACAACAAAGACACTACATTTTCAATTACTACACAAACATAAAGATTTAACAAATACATAACAATTTGCCTCACACCACAACCATAAGCCCACTACAAACAATCACACCTGTCCTACCCTATTATAACATTGACATTAGTTAACATCCAAACGACTCAAACCACTAACTAACACTACTACATCCCAAATACCCATAACAATGTCAAAAAATAGGGGCCATTGAACATGTACAAAACACATGTCACTACAAACATCACTATGACAAAATATCCAACAAAAAGTTATACAACAAAATCATTGTTTGGCAATACAAAGTTAAACCAACTTGCCAAATGACATCTATACATACAAAACCCACAATAACACAATGACAACATCACCAAAACCCCAATGTACTTCAAACCCACATTACCATTAACATACAACAACAATACGATGTCAACCTATAACATTACCGGCCTAACATTAAATATAAAAATAGACAATTTTTTTTTTTTTCTTGGTGCGATATGGTTGTTGCGTTATGTCATGTGTTGGAGATGTAGTGTTAATAATTGTATCATTTCTGTCGTGCGTTCTTGTTCATTTTGCAGGTATGGAGTTTGTAATTTTGCTTTTGTGTACTTACAAACAGATTACTGCGGATGTTGTTGTTCCTGAAAGGCAGCCCACTTCCCCCGATGTAAAATTGTTCATCTTTCGTACTGGATATCTAAATTATTCATCACACCGTTGTGTCACACTTTTTGTATACTTTTGGATCTAACTTATGCACACGAATTGCCTCAATCATCAGCCAGAACGATGTCTTCTTCAATTGCCTAATATGTCCATCGCCCAATTCCACCTCAAGGACAATTTTGATCACCCCCGCGACATTTGACCAGTACATCAATCTCGACAAGTCCACAATAGGTTTTTTGGAACTACCGATTGTTGTCTTTATTTTCTGAAACGGCAATTGTGTTTGCGTTTTTGCTATTGACGTTTGAATGAATAACTTTGAACGAGGAGTCCTCCCACCATAACTAGGTTTATATGCCCGCCTTCCAGCACAACCTGCCATATTATTCACAAATGCATTTCAATCCATATTTGTACAAAATCGGGACTACGAAATGCACGTACCATTACACCATTCCATACATGTCATTACACAATTAATTTCGCAACATTAACCAACGTAGCTAATGTCGACAGCTGCCAATACATAAAATACATACTAACATGGACGTCAACACCAACCTACGTTCTGTACTACATACTTAATTTGTAACTCAATTGCAGCCCAACTTACAAACCCAATTAATAAGGAAATGTAGCCTTACCATATCAAAATGACACAAACAAGTACAACAACAACATAACAACACATTAATTATCAAGACTTTTAGAACATTAATATTTAACGCATTCGAGTAGACCCACCTTTTTCGCATCAGTACGGCACCACCAGCTTAACAACTGACACCACCATCCCAAACCTCCAACAAATATTGCAACCACATAAATAGGACTACACAACACCGAAACGACACCATCAAAAATAAACCCATAACAGAAATGAACTTCACGTAACCATAACCTCAATGGAATTTGCAACCCATCACTCATTACGTAATATGAGAATTAAATTACATTACAACAAAGACACTACATTTTCAATTACTACACAAATATAGAGATTTAACAAATACATAACAATTTGCCTCACACCACAACCATAAGCCCACTACAAACAATCACACCTGTCCTACCTTATTATAACATTGGCATTAGTTAACATCTAAATGACTCAAACCACTAACTAACACTACTACATCCCAAATACCCATAACAATGTCAAAAAACAGGGGCCATTTAACATGTACAAAACACATGTCACTGCAAACATTACTATGACAAAATGCGTCCAACAAAAAGTTACACAACACAATCATTGTTTGGCAACATAAAGTTACATCAACTTGTCAAATGGCATCTATACATACAAAACCCACAATAACACAATGACTACACCACCAAAATCCCAATGTACTTCAAACCCACATTACCAGTAACATACAACAACAATACGATGTCAACCTATAACATTTCCGACCTAACATTAAATATAAAAATAGACAACAATGTTGATAACACAATTGGGATATTTATCAAAGAAGGAAAATAAAAACATCGAAACATATACCTAACGCCATTACCCACTAACACAATTGCCGCCGAGGCCGCAATGAGGAGTATACACATGCCGGTTATACTTCAGTAACGTCAACCAAACTACGTAATGATGTAGTTCTCAATATTAATCGTTGTATTGATAGAATTGGAGATTGTATTCCTAGGGTTTGGGGGAAACCAAACGTCAAAATTAGCAACACAAAGATAGGATTTAACGTTGCCAAAATCAAATAAATTATAAACAAAGCAATCTACATCCATTAACATTTAGAATCCATAATGTTTCCATCTTCACCTCTTCCGTTTTGATGGGGATTGAGGGAAACCAGAAAAAGACTATAGTAAGTTTTTTGGTCACAAACGTAGTTTCCACATCACGGAATCCCTAATTTACCTATAACATTTGGGACAACACGCGCTTATTCCATGTACAAAAATGCCATTACTGTTAAAATGAGACTTATCAGTGCATAAAATAAAAAATAGAACTAAATAATTCAAAAGTTTTTGATTTGAAATTTATGAGTGTATTATCCAAAAATAAACACTTATAATATTGACACATAAAATAATAAATATAAGACTAATGCTATATAAAATGTGAGAATTAAATGAGAAAAGAACCGTGTGGAGTCCACGGAAACGACCAATGAAAAAAGAAAGGCAAGAGACGGCACCAACTAGTAGATGTAAAAGCCACCAACCAAGTCTCACAAATTTTATAGAAACGCGTTAAAATTTTTAGGCGGAGATTTTTACATTGCAACTGGCAATAGAACATTGAGCCCCTCTATATATAGCCATTTAATAACGTTTTAGCTTTCATTCATTGCCCTCAATTTCTATATATATACACAATCTCTTCCTCTCCTTTATTCACTCTTTCTCACAAACCCTCCCATTAAACACTTGTCTACCTTCATTATTCTCTCCCAAATCGTCAAACAAACCCAACTTTTCATTTTTGCCCTCTCAAAACATCAAAGCATGGCTTCTTCAACAAAATTCTCTTTCATCTTATTCTTTGCTTTCTCTCTCTTCCTCCAAGGAACTCTAGGTACACATAATTTATATACAGAATGATATGATATTCTATGATTGTTTCATTTTAAAAATTAAAATGTTTATTTTTGTGATTTGTAGGGATAAAAACGTTGACATTATTCTGAATGAGTTTTATGCATGTAAATTGTGTTTGCAAATCATTTCATTTTTAATCATCTCTCTTTTTTGGAAACTCTATTTGGTTTGAAATATTTTCGAAAACCTGTTTGGCGAAAGAAATGAAGAAAAAAAATATAAGACTCATTTTTATGGTGTTTATTTTTGCTAAACTAATTTCCAATTGTTTTAAAAAATAATTCTGAAAAATAAAATTTTAAAACTCAAATCAAACATAGCTTATTCTTCATGCATTTTTACACAATTTTCAATCATAATGATATGGCAACCACATTTTGAAAATAAAATTGATGGGTATTTTTGTTAAAAACAAGAAGAATTCTGTATAGATTTTCTATATAATTTCTTTCATTGTGTTTATCAATGATCCTCTACTATATATTTATGTATACTTTTGTTTTTATCACCTTATATGAAAATTTTCACGTAAAATTTTCAATTAGAATTATATGACAATGCCATTTTTAATATAATTAGTCACTTCAAGTAGTCCTTTAGGTTGCATTTTGAATACTAAAATCTCCCACATCATTTTTTGTATAATTTTTTTGTTTGATTGTTTTAAACACCTCAATTAAATGTTAATTCAACTTCTTATTTTTTTTCTTTTAGGTGAGGTTATATGTGAGGACTTGCCAACAAATGTGTGTTCATTTTCAATTGCATCATCTGGGAAGAGATGTTTGCTGGAGAACTATGCTACCAAAGATGGGAAGGTGGAATACCAATGCCGAACATCGGAGGTGGTGGTAGAGAGGATGGCCGAGTACATTGAGACCGACCAATGCGTCAGTGCCTGCGGTGTTGACAGAAGTTCCGTCGGGATTTCTTCTGATTCCTTGCTTGAGCCTCAATTCACTGCCAAGCTTTGCTGCCCAAATTGTTATCAGAATTGCCCCAACATCGTCGATCTATACTTCAACTTGGCCGCCGGAGAGGGTAAGCAAAAAAAAAATCACGAAAAACAAAAAATTGTTGCGAAAAATTTAGTTGCACAAAAGATTTTCAAATGGAAATAGAATTACTTACACATACTATTGTGAAATAGTCGTTGTGTGAAATAACCAAGTCGTTTTTTTTGACAAATCTTCAATTAGTCTGATAACAAATAAAAAATCATAGTTAAAAAAACTTGACTAGGTTAAGGCCAACAACAACGATTTATTGACATGGTCTTAAAGCTTGACCTTGACTTGGTTAATGTCAGGCTAACTACCATAATAAATTAGGATGATTATATATTTATTTTTATTTTTTTAATAAGATCATGAGCTTTTGCTTGACAACTATTTTTTTAGTAATTTTTTTTTTCTTTCTTTCAAAACATTTTAAACAATTTTGTCAAAAGAATTATTATTGTTTTTAAATAGAAAGACCTAAAAAATTTAAAAACGAATCAAAGAAGCTCAGTAAAATTTTGAATCTCCTATTGTGATGCTTGTACATGTTTTGCTTTCCCGAACTTTTGAAAGGCACATTATATTCCCCACACAAACAAAACAACAAAAAAAAAAAAGGAGAAAGAAAAAAAGGACATTATATATGTACCTCCCTTGTGACTTTAGTTTTCTTGTACATTAATCAAAGTATTGTTCTTCATGTCTAAAATAACAAATTATTTTGTTTGTCAAGTAAATTACCTTATACTATGTTTGATTGGAGAATTTAATGAGAGATTTGGAAAGGGAAATGAAATATATAGGTAAAATGTAAATAAAATATATCTATATTTCACCTATTTTTACACACTTTTTTCTTTTATCATTCCCCAAATCTCCTAACCAAACACAGTGTTAGTGCACCGATTATTCTCACAACACATGGAATCCATCAATAAATTCCATCTATGGATTTTATTTGTTACGAAATTAACCAATATACCATGATAATGTCTTTATTGTGCAAAAGATTTTATTATGTAAAATAGGACACTTAGGACATTCATTTAATCTTTTTGAGGCCAAAATGATATCTATTTCTCTAAAAAATATCACCCAAATCTTACTTATCTGTCTATCTATTCAAATGTCATATATTTATACACGTCACATATCTATCTAATGTCATTTATCTACCCACCTTACCACCACTAGCTACCGTGTTCATTGCCGATGACCTTTTCTACTAATATTTTAGTGACTTTTCCCGGCTTATCTTTATGACAAAAAATATTAATCCTTAGACATATTCCATGTATTCCCCCATAAATATAAATTTCTTACCAATAAACCCTTCATAATACCATATCTCTTGATTAAAATGTTATTCTAAATATAAGATCAGAGTTTCTAATATATGATATTTGTTTAACAATTGCAGGAGTGTTTTTGCCAGACCTTTGTGAGAGACACAGAAGCAGCCCTCACCGAGCCATGTTGGAGCTTTTGAGCTCTGGTGCAGCCCCTGGTCCAGTTACCAGTGCTTCACCAGCATCATCATCTGATTTCTCTGCTGAAGCTCCTGCCCCTTCTTTCTTCTAATTTTGCTTCTATATTTGGATTTTAAAAATCATTTTTCCTTTGGAATTAGTATATATTAATTGCATGAGGAATAATTATTTACTAGATTAATTAAAGGGAGAGGGAAAAAAAAAATTGGGTTTGTTGATTTGATTTGTATTGGGTTATGAATAATTTGTCTTCCATTTAATTGAACTAGAGATTCTATTTATCATTTTTCTAAGAGTTTTGCTATGCTTAATAGTGTGGGATCTATATATATATATTACGTTGTGATGATAAATTTCAACACAAATTTGAAAATAGAAAGGGAATTAGAAAAAAAAAAAATTATATTTCATTCACTTTTTCTGTTTTCCTTTTCAAATTTCTATGTAAATTTATGATTCAAATACAATCATAACAAATGCATGTGAGATTCGTTATTTTTATGTCTGGTGATAAGAAAATTAAATAAAAATTTTGTAATTTTGTAGAATAATGTTTATATATTTTCATAAACTAAATTATTCCTCTTTGAAAAAAAAAATCCAAGTTTTTAGTTGATTTAATTTTTTTGAGAACTTACTAGTCTCTATTTTCACTGTGAATAAAGATTACTCTTGCAAAAACTCTGGCTAAAACAAGTATGGAAATGACTGAACAATCAATAAATATTTCACTATGGACATCAAAACAATATTAAAGAAGGGTTTTTTTTTTTTTTTCTTTGTTGTTATCATGATAGAATTATTTTGTTTATTATAGTGGACAGGGATTAAAAGTTGAAACCCTAAAATGAGTGGGAGATTCTATTGCACTAAAAAATTATTCAGTGTGTCCAATTTTTGTGTATTCTCTATTAAATTATCTAGGATTATAATTCACTCTTAATACATCCTATGTTTTTTTTTTAGAGATAAAATCACAATTTGTGATATACCCAAATAATAAATAAATCAAAAATTTCAAATTATACCACTTTGAAAAATCTTTCAAAAACCTTCAAACAGATTTCATTACGCGTATTCCTTTTGTTCACAATTGACATGCCAAATGAAATATGATTTTTCTGGGTCTCAATTTTCTTTCAATTTTCGTATTGCATTTCAATACCAATGTGTTTAAATGAACCTAAAGGAAAAAACAAAAAAAAACAAAATCTAGGTTTTAAATTTTCTTCTGGGTTTAATTGTTTTCCCTTTCAATACCAATAAGGACAAAATAAACCGAAAAAAAAAATCCCTGTTTGTTTATATATCAGATATTTTTTTTTTGGTTGATGCATTGTTCGACATGGGGTAGCGCAAGAAAGCTGGGGAAAAAAAAATACAACAAAAAGAAAAGATAATTGTTTTTATTTTTATTTTTATTTTTAAGAACATAAACTTCATATATAAAGCTTCAGGCAAAATATCAAAATTTGCTAACCCTCGATAGGGCAACTTTTGCCGCATCATAGGTTGAACAATGTCACGATTCACTTTTTCAATACAAACGCTATTACCCAAAAAGCAATTTAAAAGGAAAGTGGATTAGATTTTTACAAAATAAAATTAATAATACTATAATAAAATTAATTATTAGTACAATAAATTATTAACAAGCACAATGATGAATTTCGCAATAAATGATCTAGCAAAATAACAATGAAGTATAACTAACATACAAGGTAAATCAAATGATTAACACATGAATATTAGATAGCTATAGCAATAGTATGAAAGTAAAGAGATTAGGAAAGAGGAGACAAACAGATTTATAGTGGTTCGGCTTCAGCCAAGCCTACATCCACTCCTCAAGTTTCACTTGAGATTTTCCACTATCTTCTACCTTCACAGGGGTGTTAGCAGCCTCTTTACAAATTGAACAATCCTCCACGGATTTTACACAGACTTCACAAGCCCAAACCCTTGCAAATCTTAGGTGATTCACAATCACTCTCAAGATTTCAAGAACACAATGTTTGTAATACTTTTACAAGATAAAATGGTATTTTTGCTTTTAAAGAAAGCTTACAATAAATATCTCTCAAAGATATATATAAAATGAAGTTTTGATTTTTCTGTAAAATTCACACAGGAAAAATAGGCTTAAAGCTATAAGGCTCAGTGTATAATTTCTGAGAAAATATGTGAGTGATTATAGATCAAAGAATATTTTCAAGTTTTTTGTAACTTGTTTACATTAGAGGCTTTGGTATATATAATGAAAATTATAGTCGTTTATAGCCGTTGTATTCATTTGAATTTATAACCGTTTATAGCCGTTGTAGTCATTTGAATTTATAACCGTTGTACTGCCATCATTACCAATTTGAATATCTTCCACTCCATCATTACAAATTTGAATATCTTTCACTTGTACCTTTTGAATCTTTTGGCCTTTTGAACCTTTATAACCGTTTATAGTCGTTGTACTTCCATCGTTACTAATTTGAATAACTTCCACCTGAACCTTTTGAACCTTTTGACCTGCTGTTGTGCTAGGCTGTTTGAACCTTTATTTTGGGCTGTTTGAACTCCTGATTTAATCAAATATTAAATACATTCTAACAATATTTAGGATAAAGGTTTAGATGAGAAATAATAAGACAAAATAAATTTTGATTCTATTTTTCTCTTTCAAATAAATTATCAAAATAAATTTTGATTCTATTTTTTTCTTTTAAATAAATCATCAAAATAAATTTTGAATTCTATTTTTCTCTTTCAAATAAATTAAAACATAATTAAATAAATCATCAAAATAAATACGTCTAACAATCTCTTCCTTTTTTATTATGGCACACAATGATGTTTTGATTTGATTTGAGTGTAAAAAAAGCTCCCCCTCAAGTCAGGCTCCCTGAATTCATTTCTAAATACATAGGTTAGCACATGTGTAATAAATAACCTTTAATTGGAGACATGATATGAGACTGAGATATCAAATTATAAATATATAATCATCATATTAGTTTTCAAATAATACCATAATTTGAAAATAATACCATAATACATAACATCATATAATTTCTCCCCCTATGACATTATCAAAAAGAAATCATGGGTCAGAATGTAGAGGAGGAGGAGGAAAATGATAATGATAAATGGCATCAAAAAGTAGATAATCAAAACATAGATATACATATATGCATACACAACTCTCCCGCGTCTCTCTCGTTTTTCGCAAAACGTGGTTGCCACACGGCCTGGATTTTGCTTCATTGGCCGACAAAAACAGCTCTTCTCGATTGCCGCTTACCTCGACTATCTCTCCCTCCTTGTCTTCTTCTCTTCAGCCTTCTTCTTAATCACACTCGTTTGTGTCTTCTGCTTCACCTCACTCTCTTCTATCTCTTCTTCTATCTCTGCTTCATCACTCTCTGCAATATTCTTCTTCCTCGAGAAACGGAACAGAGAGACTGAGCAGAGTAGAAAGGCTGCCAAAAAGTACCCTCCGATCGATTACATCGCTCTTGTCTACTACATGGCCTCGTCCTGTCCCCTTACTCTTTTTCCGGACCTGAATGATCCCGTAAGCGCTGATGGGCCGAGTGCCCCGGCTTCTACTCTTCCCAACCTTCCTATGATGTCGATTGAGCAAATAATGGCAACTCAATTAGGCATTGAAGCCAATCATTTCACGCTGACGTCCTGTATGGAGACGGTGACTGCAGTCACAAAATTGGCTCACCGATTGCAGAACAGGACGAGTGAGCTCCTTTAGGTCAAAGCCCAACTCTCTCTGCTTTGGCGTATGTACAAGGATGCGCAAGCAGAAATAGGCGTACTGAAGGCCGAAAATAAAGATCTTAAACAGAAGACCACCTCCATGGCCCGATTTGGAGCAACGTCGTTCTTGACCTTTGATAGTCAGTGGGGAGTCATCGCTCTCGACGAAAGCATGGGGGCAGGGGCGTCAAGGGTCGCCCAATGTGATAAAAAGAAGAATAAAGCTGTGGAAGAGGCAAGTAAATAAGATCAGCGTATGGCCGTAAAAAAAATGAAGTTTTTTTTCTTTTTTAAAATATGTGTATGTTGATCGACGTATGGATGGAAGAAAAAAAAAATGAAGGGTGTTTTTTTTTTATGTAAATATTTGTATTTTGATTTGTTTTTGTTTTTGTTTTTATATTTAAGTACTGAAAAATGAAATTAAAAAATAAGAAAAAAATAAGAAAATTAAGTCCAAACAAAAAATAATAATGAGAGACCAAATTGTTAATGAGTGTATGAGAAGCATTTAAGCATGATCTAATTCTCAATTTCTTAGCAAGAGCATACTAATCTCAAGACTATAATAGACATAACAATGCATAGATCAAACAAGATTGCCAAGCAAGAGCATAAATATGGAGCTAAAGTTCAAGTCATTCTTCCTTGAGGAAAACGATCTTCCTCTTACATTATCAACAACTAATCAGCTCAAAGGTCATGTTGTAAGAATTAAGATACCAAAAGTATAGAGATACCAAAATAATCAGAGATACTAAAACAATCAAGTCTCTTTTTCTCCCCCGATGACATTTTTAACAAAATCAAGCACAGGGAGGGAGTATGGTACAACATATAGGATGAAAGAATGTAAGTCTCATTATAGCACAAATAATCATCCATTTCAAGGTAGCTCTATGATACCAAAAAAAATGATAGCACATAATGATCATACAATTGAAGCTCATACCATTTGACAATAATGGGCAAAAAAAATAGTAACATGTGAAGGAGCAAGCCCATAAGTTTGATATCAAAAATAGAATAGAAACTGAGGGAATTTTAAAAAATAATCAAGTTTAAATTCTTCCTCTTGTTTCATTTGGCAAAATCAATAGGAGATATGATAAATGAAAGCTCATAACTAACATGTTCTCGTCAATAATATCAAATAGGATGCTAAAATGCAATCTATCAAGGATACTAATATGCAATTTAGAAGATTTAACAATCATAGCTCAAGCATTATGTAGAATACCAAATGTTGCTCATAATAGGTTAAACTTAATATAATCTCATGGAGCTAATGTAATTCCAAAAAAAATGAAGCATGTTCAAGGCATAGCGATCCATATGCCAAGAAAAATCATGAATTTCAATATGTACCACACATTTAAGCATATGCATGATTTTTAGGTAAAAACATCATCAAAGAGTATACATTGCAAATCATATGAAGCATAATCAATCTTTTTCATATCAAAGTAATAACAGTATTAGCTCAAGGGATATAAGATAGAATTTTTACCTCAAAAGCTTAAGAGAG